GTAAACATAGGATATCTCGGTATTCATCTATCTTTCATACTGTGAATGGTGGAGGAACAAGCAAATGGCTTTAATTCTATAGCTAAGTAATGGTAATGGACCTCCTTCTAAGTTATCCTAATTACCTTTTGTTCCTGGAGGAACTCCCAACTTGTCAAAAGAGGACATGAAATTGTATAAAAGATCCTTGGGTCTTGATTCTGTCATCTCAGATCTGCTTAAGCTTCATCAGGGAAAGTTTGAGTCACAAGACTGAGGTCCCAGTTATGCTATTATGCCTTGAATGAGATTTGGACATTGGACTATAACCTATGAACTAATTCTGAAAACTCTTTGCAACTACAAAGCTCACGATCTCTGGTATGAATCTGAACCTCAATGAATTGAACTCATGTCTGTATATATATTCATCTTTTTAACCATACTCTTGTTTTTTAATAAATTTTAGTTCACAAGAATTGGCTGTAGTGTATATTTGGGTAAGATCTGGAATATTCAATAACCTGGGAGGTAATGTGTCCGATCCTTTGGGATTGGTAGAACCTTTTCTTTTATATGATGAAATAAGATTTTCAGATATCATCATATTTGACTTAGCTACTTGGATGGAGACCTAAGGCTGGAACACTTTAAGGGAAGCGTTTGGACTTCTGAGTAACCAGTAAGGTAATAAAGAAGCTGTTTTGTGTTGGCTTGGTAAATCTAAATGTTGGAATATCCACCAGCTTTTGGGGTTTTGGCTGCCCTATTCTTTGCAGGTCACCATAATTGAGTGACCACAGCTGGCCCCACTGGGATCCCGGTCACAATGTGTCTGTGGATCTTGCTGTAGGTGACTGACAGGCAGTACCCTTACCAGATGGTGAGAGTGAGGAATCTTGGCTGTATCAATCAAATAGGGATTGAGGTACTGCTTTTTGAACTTAGTCTTTGTTTTGGCTGCCACGTCAAGTGCACAATGTTTCACAAAGGTCAGTGACTTGCTTATGGCTGCCTTACAGATCTCGGAGATCAGTATATTTCTAAAGCAGGCTGAAGATGTCCCCTGGGCCCTGGTATAGCATTCCTTGACATTTTGGGGAGACGCTTTCCAGTCAATTGATAGCAGATTACACAGTGCATTTCCACTGCTTTGAGATACTCTCAGGCTAGATGACTTGGCATTTCTGCACACCAGGTATATGGGCACAGAGACCAAGGTAGAAGTCCTGAAAGATTTGGCCCTTGTAATAAAGCAGGGCCCTGGACATGTATGAAGCTTCTTTACTGATGAGTGCAGCTGAGGGAAGGCCATCCGTAGAATAATACTGGTTCACAGGGAATTCTGAGAACACTTTAGGAATGAATCTTGGGTGCAGTTTAATCACCACTTTGTCATCATGGAAGTATATATATTGCTGTCCTGCCAGGAGAGCTTGCAGTTCTCACTCTCCATGTTGGCGTGATGGCTATGAGAGAGACTCGTAATGGTGAGGTGGTATAACGAACATTACATTAACTATTTGAATTGAGGCTCCATGAGCTGTAGAACCACATCAAGCTTCCATGTGGGAGCAGGGTCTCTAACCATAGGGCAGGCATGGAGAAGGCCCTTGAAGAATCTCAATACGGTGGAATGTGAAAAGATTGAACATGACTGTATTGGGGTGTGGCATGCTAATATTGCTGCCAGATGGACTTTAGCTCCATTTAAAAGGCTAGGCCTGCTTGCTTCAGCAGCAGTATGCAGTGCAGAATCTTTGGTATTGGGGCCTCCACTGGCTTCACATTGAGTTCACCCTGACCTGCCTGTATGGAAAATCTTTTTCCACTTCAAGAAGTAAGGCTTCCTAGTGGAGGGTTTGACACTGTAAAATGATCTCTTGGACCTGCAGGGAGTAATTTTTAGTAGTCCTGCTCAACCACCCGACATCTAGGTCATCAGAAGCAGTAATTGGGCCTGGGAGCAATATTTGACCATAGTTTTATGAAAACATGTCTGAACAGGTGGGAAGGCATATGGGGAAATGGCTGGGCATATGTAGGTGGTCTGATAGCTCACAATTGCCGCAGAGCCAGTATTGGACTATCTTGACCATAGCTTGGATATGTTCCTGGAGATCAGTGGGAAGATTTACTTTGCTGGTGTCAACAACTGCTGTACAAGGCACCTAGAAGGGAGCCAGAGCTCATATCTCCTTGGAAGCAGAAAGGGGATGATGCACTTGGCATTGTCTGCCATGGCAAACAGTCTATCGTGGGAGTTGTATACCAATGGAATATCAGTTCCAGGATGGATTTCTTCAGTGACTGCTGATGGCTGGTTGCCACGTTCCTTATCAGAAAGTCCACTAGGTTGTTGCTGACCCCTGGTAAGTGCAGAGCTATCTTAGTCACTCCATGCTGACTGCACCATTCCCAGAACTATAGCCTCCCCTGCAGAAAGGGGATGATGATCAAGTGCATCCTTGCCCACAGTAAATCAAATACTTCTTGTGGGCCAAGTAGATGGTGATATGCAAATTGGAGCAGTGACCTCATCTTGAGTTTGGAGTGATGGGATGATGGAGGCAAGTATTACCATCCTGAACTTGTGATGGTGTATATATTTGAGTCTGCTGAGGTCTAGTATAGGATGGTGCCCCTTTATTTCCTCTAGATAAAGGACTCTGATGGGTCTGGCACCACAGTGTCCCTTTGTGGTAGGGGTGGATGGGGTGTCGGGGCCTCACCACTCAAGTTCCCACGCCCGTCCCTTGAAGGGCGTTCCAATGTGGCTCAATGGCCGGTTTCCCCGTGCTCGCCCCTTGGTCGGGGTAGCGGGACCTAATGGTCAGAGTCCATCTAGCTGGCCCCGAGTATCCGGGCAGCGTGGCCCAACGGCCAGAGTCCATCTAGCTGGCCCCGAGTATCCGGGCAGCGTGGCCCAACGGCCAGAGTCCATCTAGCTGGCCCCGAGTATCCGGGCAGCGTGGCCCAACGGCCAGAGTCCATCTAGCTGGCCCCGAGTATCCGGGCAGCGTGGCCCAACGGCCAGAGTCCATCTAGCTGGCCCCGAGTATCCGGGCAGCGTGGCCCAATGGCCAGAGTGGTAGGGGGACCCGGGCCCGCCCTCTCCAAGGGTCCCGACCCAGGACTCTCCTATTGGCGGGGTTTCCCCTCACGCTTAGCTCGGTGGTGATCCGCCCACAACACGCCGAGGGTCAGTGCAGTTTTAATGCTGCTTGTCTCTAAAGTTCCCCTGGGTCACTTTCTACCGCTCAACGTTGTGTTCTCCACACTGGGGGGCAGGGCCTCCGGTCCATCCCCTCCTGTTGAGACCTCCATCTGGGACGCCAGGTGCGTCCCAGCTTGGCTGGATCCTGGAGCATTGGCTGTCCCTCCTCAAGAGCTGGCGGTGTGCCTCCTTCTACTCCGGTGGTCAACCTAGACTGAACACTTCTGCAGGCTTTTATACCTATTCTCCAGTTGGAGCATGCCCAGCAGGGCTTCCGGGGCGGGGCTTCCTCTGTCAGGAAGGAAGGGTTAACCCCTGCGGTACCAGTGCAGGGCCACTCTGCCCCATCACAGACTCTCTTTGTTGTACCTAGGGTATTTCCTGGTCTAGTACTCTGTGGTAAAACTGGGTATGCAATCTCTGGTGTGTGGTGGTTGAGGGTATGCCTTTCAATAGGGTGGAAGAGCATAGATTCCCAAAGAGCATAGGTTCACTGTGGAATCTCAGTGAATATAAGTAGGGGGTCTCCTTAAATCACAGAGAAATCACACAATTTTTGCAGGTTGGTCATGACATAAATAGCATATTTCAAGGATGTAACAACCTTTACTGACTAAAGTGCTGTGCTGCGCTAGCATGCCTTCAGAGCTGCATGCCCAGGCAGGAGCTGCCACTATCTGCTCAGCTTTCAGAGCTGGGTGACCCTAGACCATATTTCACAGGGGAGACCAGATTTCTCAGTTCTGAATTTGGTAAAGCCTCATATTTAGGGGTCTCAGTCCATTTGCTGAACAGCTACCAACATTTGAGGGGTTAATTCTAAATTGTGGCTTGTACCTTACAAGGGAACATCCCAAGATTTGGCATCTTAGTGCTTTTTGCATGATCACCATGGTGGTCATAGACTTGGGTGCCTTTTAGGCTAAACTGGCTTTTTATGATGTCTTGGCTCCTCTGCTTTTGTAAGGAAGCTTGGGCAGGAAGAACGTCTCTCTCTGCCTATTTGGCCCACTGACAAGAATAGGCCACCTTCAATTGGAGTGAGGCTGCTTGAATGTACCTTCCTTCCAAACAGCTCACAGGCACAGGGCTCTTGTGCGGCCCAGGTGCACAGTATTCAAATAAAATCCAGTGTTGCATGAATAAGGTGTATGAATGCACACCTAGAGTGGAATCCACACTGGCACACAAATGTATAATTTATAAATATACTTTTTTGGATAATTTGGTCTGTTTGCACAAGTTTTCTTTCATAGATTCCTTTTTTTCAGACACTAATAACAATCTAAACCACTCACTTTTGGGGTTGAAATTTTCCATGTTTGGGCCCATAAATAATTTTTTTCTGGAAAGAGTAAGAAATATCCTTCCAGCTCTTCATTACAAAAGGCAAAAAAGCTGCTTTTTATCCTTGTGAGAACATTACCATCGTTTCTGATATACAGAACTTAAAAAGGGATGACCTTTAAAACTTCCTCTGAGAAGATGGATTATAAAATGAAGTCTGGGACACTTGGTCAAACAATAGCAGAAGCAAAGTGGTGAACTCATCCTATAAAGTTAGTACAACTCACTGAGCGGAGTTCAAAGCCAAGGAAGACTCATGTAAAAATTTCATTGCAATGGAATTTTAGCACTCTGAAGCTACACCTTGCCCACTGGGCCAGATACTGCCCCCATTTATACACCCCACTAGTGTTAAATAGGCTAAATTCTTACCTGATTTACAGCCTATTTTATTCTCTCCCCTACTGTTCTTGTGTTAAACCCAGTATTTTGGTTAAATATAAATGTGTTCTCTTACCAGTCTACTTTATCCTTGGGCCAGCCTTGCCCTCCCAGACCACAATAGCATCCATAACGTAGATAGGCAAAAGGAGTGCGTCCTGTGCTGCATTTAATGGCTCCAGCTAATTCAAGGATTCCTCTTCGATTCCTAGAATGTTTTTTTCCCAAAGCACCTTTATAATCTAAAGAAAAACCAAGATGCTTCACTCAGTATCTGAATAATCTTTCTGAGAATGTTCACTATGCACTTTAGAGCTTCAGTTATTTGAAACTGTTAATGTTGTCTTTACTCTGTTAGAGATTTTAATGTTTAAATGCTTGTTTTTTAACATACTACTAAGAGCATAGTAAAGTGGTAATCTCATGCTTCCTACAGAGACCTTGTGTTAAGGTTTTACGCTAAGACTCTGGTCATCTGGGTTTAATTGGCAGCTCTGCCACAGACTTCCTGTGTGATGATGGGCACTTAAGGCTTGCCTATACGAGTGGCAGGCTAGCAAGAGGTAGATTTACACCCCCACCTGGCACAAACTAAGTGTTCTCATAGATGAGCCCATACTGTCTTTGCCTCAGTTCCCTCCTGTTGTGAGGATACGTTAACTGAATGTTTGTGAGGTGCTCAGATATAAGGGAAGAGGCCCAATATAAGAAACTAGATGCCAAGTGGCCAGTATCCAGACTATTTAGGCCTGGTGTACGCTTAAAAATTAGGAAGGATTTGGAGGGAATAGGAGGTTCCTGCTAGCAGGGAGCCTGGCCAGCACCTGAGTGCCACTCTGCCTGCCAGGTCCTCCTCCAAAGGCCATGGCAGCTCCTCCTGGGGCTGTGGACCAACAGGAAATCTTGATCCAGAAGCCTTTTGGGGCGGAGGTGCAAGCTGGGCTGTTTCTGTCTGACCTGACAGTGAGCTGCAGTATGCGGGGGAGCCTGTGTCACTGCTGGGGCAGGGTGCCCAATCCATGGGCTCCTGCCTATTCCAGACTGTGATGGCAACTCCTTTGCAGGGAACCCTAGCAGGGGACGAATAGGGCTGGATGTGGGGCAGGGAGGGTTTCTAACTGTTATAATAATTGTGACCTTAGCTCAGTGTAACTTGCAGTGTTGCTACAATGGCATACATATGTTGTGTAAGACTCTTGCATAATCAGTCTTTGGATAGTGTGTGTATACAGTTGTAGAAACACAGTGGTGAGTTAGTTCAGTGTAAGAACACTTAATTATGATTTTTTGTTTGTTTCTACCTGACTACGCAGTTAAGATTTCATAGCTGCTTTTGTGTCCATTAACTAAAGTGAAATGGCTGGTGCGAATTCCTTGGGGATACCAACTTGGACCCCCAGCCCTTTGGGGAGGGCAGTAATCCCACAGGGCTGGCCCCCCTTATTTTTATTGCAAAAATAGACCTCCACTACAGTATGTCTAGATGTCGTCATTAGGAACTTTTTTACATACCACTCACTTATAAGTAACGAGCTGAATTGTTCATTGGAGTAGAGTCCTCTACATTATTAAATAAAATTGGGTCATGTAGTGGGGAGGATATGTTGGCTTTAAATTCTATTGTATAATCTATGACAGATTATCAATCGTTATGACAGAAGTAATAATGGTCATACTTAGACTTCAAAGGAAGACTATAAATGACCCTCCGATGAGAGGATTAGAATAGAGTTTGACTGACAGTTATGACCTCAAGCACTGGGATGTTGGAATAAAGGCAGAGCCCATTATAATTGGAGAGAGAGAGCTAGGACGTTGGAACCGTAATCTCCAATTTACCAGGACTGTAATTATAAAATGTAACCTACCTAACTAGGCTTTTACCTAATCTGGAGATGAGATAATTCATTTATTTGATTTACTAATACACTACAAAACTTCTCAACCTGAGTAGTGCTGCAACCCAGTGTGCCAGGTTGCAACACCCAGAACAGGGAGCCAGCCCAAAGGACATGAATTGCTGCTGCAGAGTGAAAACCCGTCCCACCTCCCTCCCTCCCCTGACCTGCTCTCTGCACCATGCTGCGATTAGGGTTGTGCTGGGGCAGAGGGTGCTGCTGCAGATGGTCTGTGCCCCTCAGCAGGGTGAGGAGGAGGAAGTAGAGTTCACCCATTGAAACAGAAAGCTTTATCTGCTACAGGAAATAATTTTTATTTACACTGAGGTCTAAGGTGCATAACTTTATAAAATTATGATGCATAACTAAATAAATTTACAGAAGCCCATTATAACACTGCCTATTCTTCAGGCTGCTTGACACTTCCCATTATAAGACCCTGTCTTCAGTGGCTTACAACTTTTGCCAAATTTTAGTCCTTTGGGGTGAAATTTTCCATATTGGGGGTGTCACTCACACATATATTGGGATGTGTTACTCAGACACAATTTTGTTTTAAACATTTGAGCCACAACAGTTCAGCCACTTCAGAGATCAAGTCTACGGGTTGTTATGTAATGTTTAAAAAAAATTCTAATTAACTTTTCTCTGAAAATCTCTGACCCCCTTGTTTTAGAGCAGTGACTAGTAATTTGGCCGGGGGAGCCCTTTGTGTCATGGATATGCCTTTTTACTTCCCTATGAAAATCTGTCCAAATTGGCCAAGTTATGCACTTTTGAAAAATGTTTCCACATGCCTAGCAGAGACTTCATAGACTTCTAGCAGTTAATTTTTTTTCAAGATTCAATGCATGCTCAAGCTTCACAGCTCCTAGTACTGACCAGATTGTTCATGTGCTGTCTCCATAGAGTGACTGAGCATGCCTGAGGCTTCTGGAGAAGATGGGCCTTCTCTGTAGTTGTTGCTCAAGAGTGGGCTTGGTTGGGTGATGAGCACCAGAACTGAGAGGAGGGAGCCTGTCTCTCCAATGCTCTCAGTGTCCCCCCCTAAAGAAGCCCAGGCAGCATAAAAAAGGAAGCCATCTGACCTGAATACAGAGGGGACCAGAGCCAGACTTGGAGACTGGGATGTGTGTGTGTGTGTGTGTGTGTTTCGGGGGGGAGGGGGATTGGGACAAGGAGCCTAGTAGAACCTTCATTGAGTCCCATTGTGCATTTGCATTAGTATAGAAGAATTCTTCTTCTATAGTATGTGATCATGTACTTAGACTGTTTTCCACAAGACCCCTGCCTCATTCAGGGCACAGGCTGGAGTCCGTAATGTAGAGTCATGCTATAATGAAGGAGATTGTCTGTCTGTAAGATCCCTGATTCATTTGTTGCAGAAATTGGAAGGTGTGTAGTGAATCAGGCAGGGGATTGCAGGAAGAGAAAGGACTATCTCATGGTTAAGGTAGTTAAATGCTTCCCTGGAGAATTGAATTCTATCCCTGCTTCTGCCACAGAGTTCCTAGGGCAGGAAAGTCACTCAAACCAAACTTCTCATTGGTGGTCATTAACTGTGTTCCTTATTTTGTGGGTGCCCAACTTGATACCCTGGGTTTACTCTGCAGAAGTGCTGAGCACTCAGCTGCAACTGAAGTTCATGGGAGCTGTGCTTTGAACAACTTAAATCCTATATAAAGCTAAGTATTTGGGAAAATCAGGTCCTAGTGTCTCAAGTGTGGCATCCAAACCGATGGATACTTTGGACCTTACTTTCTCTCTCACTCTCTCTCTGCCTCAGTTCCCCATCTGTAAAATGGGGATAAGACCCCCCTCATCTCATGGGGTGTTGTGGAAAATAAAATCATTAATGTTTGTAAAACACTCATGCTGTATTAAAGAGCACCACAGAAAACCCCAGGATAAAAGTGAACATGGAATTATTAGAGCAGGGTTTGAATAATGTGCAGTAAATTGAGCAATAAGGAGAAAATAAAATATTTAATAACTGTTCACTAAGTGAGCACTGCTCCTTCTGGACTATGAATATGGGAGGGGTCCTGTGGAAAAATAGTATGTAATTAAAGACTAAATCATAATGTGCCCACATAAGGGGGCTTACTTAAGGTTGTACAGGCAATCTTGATTCTGGCATTTCCTAATCTTTGATTCTAGCATTTCCTAATGTTTTGACTTTGCCCTCTTAATATTTTTATATATACTCCACATGAGCTATGGATAAATGTGTAGGTCTGCAATATATATTTTGCTGGGATCTGCAATCTTTAGTTTAAAGTATTGTTATGTAAATCTTTTGTATGTAGCACTGATTTTTTTTTAGGTTTTTTTTTTGTGTGTGAAAGAAATGCAAAACCTACTTTATATCTGCAACATTAAGGTTACAGTTAGCCACCCAGAAGTCAAGAAACTGAAAAGCTCTGAGTGCCAGCTGTAAAGTGGCCGCATTACAAATATTCTCTCTGAAGTGGTAGATCATTTTTCAATTACTACTTGGACTATCTGTTTCTCATTTGGCTGAGTTATACGTTATCCAAATACTTTCTACAGACTTGTGGCACCTTAGAGACTGACAAATTTATTAGCGCATAATAAATGCTCAAGAGTGGGCTTGGCTGGGTGACGAGCGCCAGAACTGAGAGGAGAGCGCCTCATGCTCTAATAAATTTGTTAGTCTCTAAGGTGCCACAATTCCTCCTTTTCTTTTTACGGATCCAGACTAACGGGCTGCTACTCTGAAGCCTGTCAGACGATTGTAACTGCACACGACCAGCCCAGGTTTTGTGTTCAATTAAATAGAATACAGCCCAGATCCCCGCTGTGAGGCGATGCCTGGAGGAGCCCGTAGACCCGTATTAAGACCGAAGTGATTTCTCGCTCACCCGACCCCTGAACTTTTCACTCTGGCTTCCCTCTCTCCACTCGGGGGGAGGGGGGGCACTCTCTCCTTCCCAACTTCTGTTGGACTCTAACTTGTTTCAGACCAATGGCCCCAGGGCAGCTCCCCCTGTGTTCGCTGCAGCTGGGTCCCGGCGAAAGGGCAGGCCGGCGGCCGCAAGCTCTCCACTCACCCGTCTGCAGCAGGAGCAGCAGAGGCAGCAAGAACGCCAGGCGCCGGGGTCCCATGAGGAGCGCCGCGGAGTCGGGCGGGTGGCCGGCGGCCGCGGGTGAGTCGCTGCGCTTCTGTCTCCCTGGCGCTCAGCCTGGGCTCGCGGTCCCTGCCGAGGCTGCTGCGCACCGTGAGCGGTGGGTGGGTGAGAACAGCGTCTGCTGCCTATAAAGCGTTGCCCTCAGCCTGCCCCCCCCCCCTGTTCTTCACGTCCCCAGAGCGCAGAGCGTGAGGCCAAGCCTCGGGGTCCATTCGCCCTTGGGGAGGGGCGCCTGCTGCTGCCCCAGTCAAGGAAGAGACTCGTGAAGCGCTGGCGCCATTCACTTGGGTAGCAAGCGACCTGAGGCTGGGCTCCAGGGCCAGACTGTCGGCTCCAGAGCCCTGCTCCTCAGGGACAGTCCGCTTTTGCAGCGGCAGTGGAGCTTGGTCTTATTTCTGGAGACTTACTAGTCATCATCATTGTAAAAAGAAAAGGAGGACTTGTGGCACCTTAGAGACTAACCAATTTATTTGAGCATGAGCTTTCCTGAGCTACAGCTCACGTCATCGGATGCATACCGTGGAAACTGCAGCAGACTTTATATACACACAGAGAATATGAAACAATACCTCCTCCCACCCCACTGTCCTGCTGGTAATAGCTTATCTAAAGTGATCAACAGGTGGGCCATTTCCAGCACAAATCCAGGTTTTCTCACCCTCCATCCCCCCACACAAATTCACTCTCCTGCTGGTGCTAGCCCATCCAAAGTGACAACTCTTTACATAATCAAGTTGGACTATTTCCTGCACAAATCCAGGTTTTCTCACATCCCCCCCACCCCCATACACACACAAACTCACTCTCCTGCTGGTAATAGCTCATCCAAACTGACCACTCTCCAAGTTTAAATCCAAGTTAAACCAGAACATCTGGGGGGGGGGGGGGGGGTAGGAAAAAACAAGAGGAAACAGGCTACCTTGCATAATGACTTAGCCACTCCCAGTCTCTATTTAAGCCTAAATTAATAGTATCCAATTTGCAAATGAATTCCAATTCAGCAGTTTCTCGCTGGAGTCTGGATTTGAAGTTTTTTTGTTTTAAGATAGCGACCTTCATGTCTGTGATTGCGTGACCAGAGAGATTGAAGTGTTCTCCGACTGGTTTTTGAATGTTATAATTCTTGACATCTGATTTGTGTCCATTTATTCTTTTACGTAGAGACTGTCCAGTTTGACCAATGTACATGGCAGAGGGGCATTGCTGGCAAATGATGGCATATATCACATTGGTGGATGTGCAGGTGAACGAGCCTCTGATAGTGTGGCTGATGTTATTAAGCCCTGTGATGGTGTCCCCTGAATAGATATGTGGGCACAATTGGCAACGGGCTTTGTTGCAAGGATAAGTTCCTGGGTTAGTGGTTCTGTTGTGTGGTATGTGGTTGTTGGTGAGTATTTGCTTCAGGTTGCGGGGCTGTCTGTAGGCAAGGACTGGCCTGTCTCCCAAGACTTGTGAGAGTGTTGGGTCATCCTTTAGGATAGGTTGTAGATCCTTAATAATGCGTTGGAGGGGTTTTAGTTGGGGGCTGAAGGTGACGGCTAGTGGCGTTCTGTTATTTTCTTTGTTAGGCCTGTCCTGTAGTAGGTAACTTCTGGGAACTCTTCTGGCTCTATCAATCTGTTTCTTTACTTCTGCAGGTGGGTATTGTAGTTGTAAGAAAGCTTGACAGAGATCTTGTAGGTGTTTGTCTCTGTCTGAGGGGTTGGAGCAAATGCGGTTGTATCGCAGAGCTTGGCTGTAGACGATGGATCGTGTGGTGTGGTCAGGGTGAAAGCTGGAGGCATGCAGGTAGGAACAGCGGTCAGTAGGTTTCCGGTATAGGGTGCTGTTTATGTGACCATTGTTTATTAGCACTGTAGTGTCTAGGAAGTGGATCTCTTGTGTGGACTGGACCAGGCTGAGGTTGGTGGTGGGATGGAAATTGTTGAAATCATGGTGGAATTCCTCAAGGGCTTCTTTTCCATGGGTCCAGATGATGAAGATGTCATCAAGATAGCGCAAGTAGAGTAGGGGCTTTAGGGGACGAGAGCTGAGGAAGCGTTGTTCTAAATCAGCCATAAAAATGTTGGCATACTGTGGGGCCATGCGGGTACCCATAGCAGTGCCGCTGATCTGAAGGTATACATTGTCCCCAAATGTGAAATAGTTATGGGTAAGGACAAAGTCACAAAGTTCAGCCACCAGGTTAGCCGTGACATTATCGGGGATAGTGTTCTTGACGGCTTGAAGTCCATCTTTGTGTGGAATGTTGGTGTAGAGGGCTTCTACATCCATAGTAGCCAGGATGGTGTTATCAGGAAGATCACCGATGGATTGAAGTTTCCTCAGGAAGTCAGTGGTGTCTCGAAGGTAGCTGGGAGTGCTGGTAGCGTAGGGCCTGAGGAGGGAGTCTACATAGCCAGACAATCCTGCTGTCAGGGTGCCAATGCCTGAGATGATGGGGCGCCCAGGATTTCCAGATTTATGGATCTTGGGTAGTAGATAGAATATCCCAGGTTGGGGTTCCAGGGGTGTGTCTGTGCGGATTTGATCTTGTGCTTTTTCAGGAAGTTTCTTGAGCAAATGCTGTAGTTGCTTTTGGTAACTCTCAGTGGGATCATAGGGTAATGGCTTGTAGAAACTCGTGTTGGAGAGCTGCCGAGCAGCCTCTTGTTCATATTCCGACATATTCATGATGACAACAGCACCTTGAGGAATTCCACCATGATTTCAACAATTTCCATCCCACCACCAACCTCAGCCTGGTCCAGTCCACACAAGAGATCCACTTCCTGGACACTACAGTGCTAATAAACAATGGCCACATAAACAGCACCCTATACCGGAAACCTACTGACCGCTATTCCTACCTGCATGCCTCTAGCTTTCACCCTGACCACACCACACGATCCATCGTCTACAGCCAAGCTCTGCGATACAACCGCATTTGCTCCAACCCCTCAGACAGAGACAAACACCTACAAGATCTCTGTCAAGCTTTCTTACAACTACAATACCCACCTGCAGAAGTAAAGAAACAGATTGATAGAGCCAGAAGAGTTCCCAGAAGTTACCTACTACAGGACAGGCCTAACAAAGAAAATAACAGAACGCCACTAGCCGTCACCTTCAGCCCCCAACTAAAACCCCTCCAACGCATTATTAAGGATCTACAACCTATCCTAAAGGATGACCCAACACTCTCACAAGTCTTGGGAGACAGGCCAGTCCTTGCCTACAGACAGCCCCGCAACCTGAAGCAAATACTCACCAACAACCACATACCACACAACAGAACCACTAACCCAGGAACTTATCCTTGCAACAAAGCCCGTTGCCAATTGTGCCCACATATCTATTCAGGGGACACCATCACAGGGCCTAATAACATCAGCCACACTATCAGAGGCTCGTTCACCTGCACATCCACCAATGTGATATATGCCATCATGTGCCAGCAATGCCCCTCTGCCATGTACATTGGTCAAACTGGACAGTCTCTACGTAAAAGAATAAATGGACACAAATCAGATGTCAAGAATTATAACATTCATAAACCAGTCGGAGAACACTTCAATCTCTCTGGTCACACAATCACAGACATGAAGGTCGCTATCTTAAAACAAAAAAACTTCAAATCCAGACTCCAGCGAGAAACTGCTGAATTGGAATTCATTTGCAAATTGGATACTATTAATTTAGGCTTAAATAGAGACTGGGAGTGGCTAAGTCATTATGCAAGGTAGCCTGTTTCCTCTTGTTTTTTCCTACCCCCCCCCCAGATGTTCTGGTTTAACCTGGATTTAAACTTGGAGAGTGGTCAGTTTAGATGAGCTATTACCAGCAGGAGAGTGAGTTTGTGTGTGTATGGGGGTGGAGGGGATGTGAGAAAACCTGGATCTATGCAGGAAATAGCCCGACTTGATTATGTAAAGAGTTGTCACTTTGGATGGGCTAGCACCAGCAGGAGAGTGAATTTGTGTGGGGGGGGATGGAGGGTGAGAAAACCTGGATTTGTGCTGGAAATGGCCCACCTGTTGATCACTTTAGATAAGCTATTACCAGCAGGACAGTGGGGTGGGAGGAGGTATTGTTTCATATTCTCTGTGTGTATATAAAGTCTGCTGCAGTTTCCACGGTATGCATCTGATGAAGTGAGCTGTAGCTCACGAAAGCTCATGCTCAAATAAATTGGTTAGTCTCTAAGGTGCCACAAGTACTCCTTTTCTTTTTACATAAGTGCTGTAACTGGCCCTATAGATTGAATCAACTCAAAGTAAATGGTCTGAAGCCCAAGTTCTAAAGTTAAATCTTCCTCTTTCCTTCTTTAATTCTAGCAACTGATCTTTGGTATGAGAGACCAGTGGTGTCACATTTCCACAATAAAAGTAAAACTAACAATCTCAAACATTTCAACTAAAATCTTTTGGATGAAGAACACGCTGAAAGCTGAAGTGAATAACTATTGTACTGAAAGTTTTATCCATATCTGTATGGAGTTAGCAGTTACCCTAACTTTCCATAATAGATCGCTGATTATTTTAAAACTTTTTTCCCAATCAGAGACACTATTGTTTTTTTCTTTTGCTATGAGAATCTTAATTTAAATAGAAAGCAGTATTTATACCATGCACTAAATAATAAAATACGTGAGCTAAGGTTGTGTTTATAAGTGGTTTTAAGTATTCTCATCCACATTACTGTAAATGTATTTCACACACATTCTGATGATTGGAACAATATTTAATTTTCATGCATTAAACATCACTACTTTAAGTTCAGTTTCTTTTTAAATGAATGAATGCTGAGAAGTGACCTCACTGCTTTAAGAATGCTTTATTCATTCAAAATTCATTCAAAAAAATTCATTCATTCATTCAAAATAATTGTAATTATGATTTTTCTTTACCAGGTTTGTTGATTTACACTTGAACAATAAAAAAGGGGTTCCTTGACCCTAAGTATAACAAGATGAAATGGCAGTAAGATGAAAATTAAAATATCTAAACTGACTACTAGTGAAACTTTTAGACATGAGTGAATAGATACGAGTAATAATTACTATAAGCCAGATTCTTCCCTCACTAAACCAGTACTACGCTATTGACTCTGGAGTAACTGAAGGGGAAATGCATAAAATTAACTTATCAAAAGCCTAAGTGTCAAAACGTTACAGAGAAAGTGCATTTTAATTTACCTGAAAACAAATCAGTCCTCACTACAATCCTGTGAGGTAGGAAAACATTCAGAACTATATTTTACAGATGTGGAAACTGAGGCACAGATCAGTTGAGGCCACAAAGTACATCCGGGGGCAAAGCAGGGGTAAGAAATTCCTGGTTCTCAATCCCACGTTTTCAGGCCACTAGAGCATGTTGACTTTCAGTTTATTATACAGAGAATAATAATGCTGTAATTTTTTTTTTTAAAAGATGCTCTATGAAAGTTGACAGGCCCAAAAAAGAATGCAAAGCCTGTCCCACTGCCAAAGACCCAAACAACTTGTATTCTAAATACCCTGTTATTAACAAAACTCCATAAATACCAGTGCTCCAGAAAAAGGTCTGCAAAGTCTTAAACAGCCTGTCCATCGCTGTGTTTTCTTGGCTCACGAGTATGGAGCTGGCAGGAAGGGAGACTATGGAGGTGCAAATGTCACATTTTGTTACGTAAATACATGTTGCAGCAAAACCCGAGCATCTTAGGTTTGTTTTGTTTGGGTCACGTGGCAAAAGGGCCAAAAGTTTAAGGACTACATTCTTCCTCTGGCTGCACGTATGTGGCTCATTTTAATAGGAACCACCTGTGCTTATTTAGCCCCAACTGGACTGCAGCCTTAATTATGAAGCACATAATTTCACTATCAGTTGGGGAACATTCTGCAACAAACTCACTTAAGGAAAAAAAAAGAAAAAAAAAAGGGTGAGAGGAAAGGAGAGAATATTGTATTTCAGGTCTGACCGCCTTTGCGGTCTCGCTAAATAAAGTTATATGTACCATCTATATGTGGGGAGATCAAAGGAAAGGTCTGTAGCATTCAATGTGGTGGTTTTGTTTTGTTTTTTGTACAAAGAGAAATCTCATCTTTAAAACAAGATGTTCCTGAAAAAACAAAGATCAGCCACTTGGTTTTGTACTGTTTGAAAGTGCTGTTTTTCTTCCCTTCTGCAGGCTCAGCCTCAACGTATTCCTCTGGATATATGCTAATATAGAACCCACAATAGCAGTTCAAGCAGCTTCAAGATCTCATTTGTCTAGTGCTAGTTGAAAGATGACAGCCATTTCAAATGTATTTTAGATAATGCACCTGATACTAAATATCTCTGATTCAAAGCTCCTGTACCTTTGCTCCCATCCACAGTGAACTCCATTGTAATTACCCTAGTTAACACTCTTTATTGCAGTTCAAGTGCTTGGGTTCTCAAGACTGGTTTTGTAAAGTAGGTGACAGAACACAAAGGCCTGAGAAACAGCAAGACTACACCCGTTGGAGTAACTTCTATGTTAATAGTTGTATCGAGTGCAAAATCTCCTAAGAACATTCGCTCCAAAACATTATATATCTTGTATCCCTCCTTGCAATCCAGGATACCCAGTTGTGCAAAATTGGTTGTGAAAGGTCTTGGCATGCCGTCCGTGCCATTGTTCATCACTGCTACAGCAAACTGTCCGTTGAACAGGATTCTCTTCCATACTTCAAAATGACGGCTCTGTCAAATAGAAGAATATTGTGGGGATTCATTTTCATTGCCCTTACATCATCATTTCTGAAACTGGATCCATGGAACTCACACACATCCCTTTGTGTTTACAATACTATTCACAGAAACGGTCACCACTATATAATTAACTTAAAAGTAGCACTACTATTAGTTTGCACTTAAGCTGAGTGAAAGCCCTGTGAAACAGATGTGATGGGGGTACAGACCTGATGCAGATGAACAAAATATGGGCTCTCTCTCTTAGCTATTAATTCCCTCAGAGAACAGAAGTGAGAGGTGCTGCTTTAGGGGTTCACTGGATTCCAGATGTTACTTATACTGCAACTAAAAGTATCTAAGGGTATGTCTACGCTGCAGTAGAACACCTGTGGCTGGCCCATGTCAGTTGACTCAGGCTCTCAGGGCTATAAAATTGCAGGGTAGATGTTTGGGCTTGGGCTAGACCCCAGGCTCTGGATCCCTCCTCCCTCATGGGGTCTCAGAGCTCAATGTCTACACTGCAATTTTATAGCCCCTCAGCCTGAACCCTGCAAGCCCAAGTCAGCTGACAAGGGCCAGTGGCTGGTATTTTATTGCTGTGTAGACATACCCTTAGGTACTGTAGACAAGTGCCTGCCCTGAACATCTTACAATAAGTAGACCTCCTACAGCCAAATGAGACTGTCTTAAGAAAATATTACATCTTGCTGTGTTGGGGAGCATAAATCTGCTCACATTTTTACGTAACAATGGAAGATAAGCAGGGATCAAAATGCTGACTTTTCCAGGTGTTTTAAAAATGTAAGCAAGATGTTATCAATATATCTTTTTTATAATCTTGTGAATTTTGTTCTGTGATGGACACTTACGCTTATTAATAAAGAGCATCTTTTGGGAGGGAATAATCTATAACTTTCTCCCAGAATAAGTGAAGGTGCAATGTAGTAAAATGAGTAAATGATCTCTGATTCTGACAGACTAGCCTTTAAAACTTGAAGCCAGGGCCAGATAGCTTTGTGAAAGAACTGAATGGCACACACAGATCTTTATATGTTGTCCAGGTTGACCCAAATGTTCTCCCAATCAGTAGGTGTTGGTGCTGGATGCGTGCATGCTCCAGTATTCATTTCTAGTGTTGCTGATTTTGTGCATCTACTATATTTTGAAACAGCATCAGTGCTGGTTTTGTGCACATTTTTTGCAACTATCTTACATAATGATCCTGCTTTTTCTACATTTAAAAAGTTTTATTGCCTTTGTAGAACTAGAAAATTGCTAAAAATAGGGGAAATAGATTACTTCAGTTTGAGTGCTACAAGTAAGTTTTTTACCTGGGGGGGAGGGGGAAATTTCCATTGCCCTAGAGCCTGTATCTATTCCAATGCTGTTAAGTGTCAAGAAAAAATTGTAACAATGTGCCAGCTGTATGGTTCTGCTTTGTGCCTGTGCAGCTACAGCATAGATACGATTCTGTATTTAAGTTGTAAGAATGTTTATACTTTCACTTCATCCGCTGTTGTCAATTATATGATTACCCACCTTTCCAGCAATTCTAAATAATTTTCCATAGTGAGTAAAACGATCAAAAGTTCTGCTTACTGCCAATCTCTTTTTACACATGGGTCCTATTTATCCAGTGTCTCATTCAAACTATCACATAAGACATTTTTCTTGACGTGATTCTAGGCTTCTAAATTAATTTGCCATTCCAGACCGTCAGAACCAAATTCTGCCCTATATTCTGTTGTATTCTGCTGTTAAAGCCCTACATCTTCCATCTGATGAGCAGCTGGAGTGTTGCCTAGAAGGTTTGCTGCTGATACTTTTGTTTAGAACGATGCAGGTTCCCTAATAGGTAGAAAAAATGACAAGACCCAAGAGCCTCCTTTTACCTATGCAAATAAGCAGCTCCAAATCTCTATCTCCTGAAAGCAAAGGTGCTCTACATGAAAAGCTCCAGCAGAATGGCACAGTTACTTTTAAATTTAGCAGATGCATTTTATTATTCCTCCAGCTCAATCAGGGCACAGATATCGGAGCGTGTAGCTTGCAGTTAGGAAAAGCTCAGCATAGTTCTTGCACAGTCAGCAAGACAGATGTGTAACTCTAGTACAATTACACTAACATTACCAAGAGAAGAATTTGGCTTAAATAGTTAGGAATTTGTCTGCTCTTGGGAAGTTTCTCTTCAAACCTCATAGCGTTAGGCTATCATATGCAATATTTGGGAATAGAGAGTGCAACAGGGTGGAGACATCAGCCTGGAAAAGCCACTAGGTTTGACATTGGCTACAAAGGCCACATCGTCTCACCTTATATGAGCCCAAGGCCCATCACCAAAATCTCAGGTCTCTCATCTCTCAGAACCATTCATTTTATTCTCTTAACTGCACTGGAAACCAGCTGCAAGTTGTGATGAATAACCAATACCACAGTTAGGAACTAAATGCATTCCTACTTAACCCATTATGGCTTGAAGATGCTCCGAGGAAGGCAAAAAACTCTCTGGTCCTCTGCCAATTGACCTGTGGGGGAAAAAAATTCCTTCCTGACCCCCTGAACAGGTAATTGGCTAGACCTACGGCATCTGTCAGGCTGGGTTCCCAATCTCATTTTGGGTGGGTAGGGTGGGCTGCTGGAATGGAGCTGAAAGAGGCTCCATATGGTCCCTGCACTGGGCTAAATTGTGGGAGATGAGGAATGCTGGCCAGTCAACATCCCTCTCTCCCAACTGGTCAATGGGTGCCAGAAACTCCCAGTGGGAGGAGCTACCTATTGTCCCTTGGGAAGTGTCTCCCTCCATTGCTACTGGGACTGTCCCCCTTTCACTGCCAGCCCCATCAATTTCTCCCACCCGTTGATGCGGATGGGTGGCATTTTTCAGCAGCTAAAGATTGTGTAATTCCATTCTACAGCATCCATGTAACACCACTGTGTCAACTCTATTGATGTCAGTGAGATTGTTTACTTAATTAGGAACACCATGTGACACTGCATCTAGTAAGATTATAGTAAGTTTCCAGCTACTTTTTCACCCTGAAGAGAGAACATTTGTGTGTTTAACAAAATCAACTCTTAAAATTGACAGGGCTAGAACGTACACATATTTTGCTTTGTGTAACTATTAAGCGATTGAGACATCTCAGTAATGTGGTAATCCTGAAACAATTGTAGTTTTGCCATTATGGCAGGATGTGTAGGTAGAGACCAACATAGGCAGAGGTGAAGAATATGTACCATAGCAGCAGTTGCTGATGGTTATGCTATAAAATACTAGTTTTCCCATTTTATGTGTGGAGCAGAGTTCAGATGCTCATACTAGATATGATGGTAAAATGAACTGACCAACTTTCCCCCATCCATCTTTTGAGAGTCTTGGGACTCTCTCTAGAGCCTCAGAGCACTCTAAGCATATATTCGCAAAAAGAAAAGGAGTACTTGTGGCACCTTAGAGACTAACCAATTTATTTGAGCATAAGCTTTCGTGAGCTACAGCTCACTTCATCGGATACATACTGTGGAAAGTGTAGAAGATCTTTTTATATACACACAAAGCATGAAAAAATACCTCTTCCCACCCCACTCTCCTGCTGGTAATAGCTTATCTAAAGTGACCACTCTCCTTACTATGTGTATGGTAATCAAGTTGGGCCATTTCCAGCACAAATCCAGAAAACAAAGAAAATAACAGAACGCCACTAGCCGTCACCTTCAACTCCCAACTAAAACCCTACAACGCATTATTAAGGATCTACAACCTATCCTGAAGGATGACCCAACACTCTCACAAGTCTTGGGAGACAGGCCAGTCCTTGCCTACAGACAGCCCCCCAACCTGAAGCAAATACTCACCAGCAACCACATACCACACAACAGAACCACTAACCCAGGAACCTATCCTTGCAACAAAGTCCGTTGCCAACTGTGCCCACATATCTATTCAGGGGACACCATCACAGGGCCTAATAACATCAGCCACACTATCAGAGGCTCGTTCACCTGCACATCTACCAATGTGATATATGCCATCATGTGCCAGCAATGCCCCTCTGCCATGTACATTGGTCAAACTGGACAGTCTCTACGTAAAAGAATAAATGGACACAAATCAGATGTCAAGAATTATAACATTCATAAACCAGTCGGAGAACACTTCAATCTCTCTGGTCACGCGATTACAGACATGAAAGTTGTGATATTACAACAAAAAAACTTCAAATCCAGACTCCAGCGAGAAACTGTTGAATTGGAATTCATTTGCAAATTTGATACAATTAACTTAGGCTTGAATAGAGACTGGGAGTGGCTAAGGCATTATGCAAGGTAACCTATTTCCCCTTGTTTTTTCCTACCCCCCCCCCCCGCCTCCCCCAGACGTTCTTGTTAAACCCTGGATTTGTGCTGGAAATGGCCCACCTTGATTATCAAACCTGGATTTGTGCTGGAAATGGCCCAACTTGATTATCATACACATTGTAAGGAGAGTGATCACTTTAGATAAGCTATTACCAGCAGGAGAGTGGGGTGGGAAGAGGTATTTTTTCATGCTTTGTGTGTATATAAAAAGATCTTCTACACTTTCCACAGTATGCATCCGATGAAGTGAGCTGTAGCTCACGAAAGCTTATGCTCAAATAAATTGGTTAGTCTCTAAGGTGCCACAAGTACTCCTTTTCTTTTTGCGAATACAGACTAACACGGCTGTTACTCTGAAACCTAAGCATATATTGTGATCAACCCGCAGATCCTAGAGGAAAGTCAAACAAATAAGGACAAAAGTTACTTGGAAGCAGAGGCAGAAAAACTCAATAAATTGCCACTTGAATTACACTGTTCTTGAATCCAAATTGATACTGGATGGAGTGATGTTCTCAGCCTCCCAGAAAGGAAAACATTATATGAAGCCTAAAGGGCTGTATACATCAGCACAGAAACTGATAGAATAAAAAAAAGCCTAACTAAATCCAGATTGGATGTAAGATGGTGCAACTCCTGTGGAAGTGTCTTGGCCAAATTCACTAGTGACGTAATTAGCAGTGTAAGTTACTTATGGTCAGAAAATGGGTGTAAATTCCATTCATATGTATCCAATGAATGTGTAACCTATGTATGCAGAAAGGGAGGGGGAAGAAAGTGTGGCAGGAAAAGTAATTAGTAATAAGAGTGTGTAGATTAACTTTCCTCAACCTTTCCAGCAACATTAAATAAGTGATTAAAAACAAATCACTACTACATAAGTTTATTACCAAAGGACTAGAAAGGCTGTTTTAAAAAGGAAAAATTCTGAAGCTTCCTTTCTTGGGAAAAAATAAGCTAAAGTTCATATTGCTAAGTGTGAGTTTCTGGCAGAGCTTGGTGATGAGGCATAGCAGAACCATCCTTTAAAAACAACAAACAAACAAAAACATAGAGCAAATTGGGTACCTGTATAATGCGCTGTCCCTGAATCCCCAGAGAATCTTGGTTTATATAAATCAACAGCTTGTTTTGCAAGATGTACTTGGCATCCTCAGAAATTGTCCTTAAATCACTGGACATAAAGAGAGGGGCTGCCAGGATTGCCCACAATGCCATCTGTACTTTTGACTGCTCATAACTCAGGCCAAAGTTACCAATAATCAGCTGAAATAAATCAGATACTGTTAAATGAAACTGTCTGTATTCTAGTAGCGTCTAGGAGCCCTAATCACAAACCAAGATCCCAGTGTCCTGGCACATGACATGGGCTCTTAGGGGTTACTGCAAATGTGACACTCTTAAAAGAATGAAAATGTACACCAAAAGCCAACTACATTACAATTTAGCACATGATCCTGCAAACTCTATATGTGCAGAAATCTTACTGAAGTTAATAGTTGAAAGCTTACAGAACTGGACTGTTACTTGTATTGTCTTTTATACAACATTTGTCCCAAAATGTTTACAGCATTAATTCAATTTCAGAATGAACCATATCTTCTCCTTCATGACAAAATCCTGTTTCCATAATACCTCTGTGCAGACTTGCAAAATTATCTTAAATTTAACAGCCCAGCTATAAAATGTACTTGTCTCCCTTTACACGCCCAGGGTGAGTGAGCGATTCAGATTTTGAAAGGCTACCTTAATTGCCTCCCTTTGACTGTAATATATTTGTTTAAATGTTTACCAATAATTTTCCACTAGGCTATTTTGGAGAGCAGTTTTTGGTAATTAATTATGCATCTAGAATCATAGAATATCAGGGTTGGAAGGGACCTCAGGAGGCCATCTAGTCCAACCCCCTGCTCAAAGCAGGACTAATCCCCAACTAAATTATCCCAGTTGGGGCTTTGTCAAGCCTGACCTTAAAAACCTCTAAGGAAGGAGATTCCACCACCTCCCTAGGTAACCCCTTCCAGTGCTTTACCACCCTCCTAGTGAAAAAGGTTCTCCTAATATCCAACCTAAACCTCCCCCACTGCAACTTGAGACCATTATTCCTTGTTCTGTCATCTGGTACCACTGAGAACAGACTAGATCCATCCTCTTTGGAACGCCCTTTCAGGTAGTTGAAAGCAGCTATCAAATCCCCCCTCATTCTTCTCTTCTGCAGACTAAATCCCAGTTCCCCCAGCCTCTCCTCATAAGTCATGTGCTCTAGCCCCCTAATAATTTTTGTTGCCCTCTGCTGGACTCTTTCCAATTTTTTCACATCCTTCTTGTAGTGTGGGGCCCAAAACTGGACACAGTACTCCAGATGAGGCCTCACCAATGCCAAATAGAGGGGAATGATCACGTCCCTCGATCTGCTGGCAATGCCCCTACTTATACAGCCCAAAATGCTGTTAGCCTTCTTGGCTACCTCAAGCGTGTTCCCAGCCAGGGTCACACATGGCTCCATTTTGCCACCCTTCCTCTTAAACATGTTTGTGTCACAACTTGAGGAGATCATGAAGCATTTTGTACTTTCGTGCCATTGGCATGCTGATTATAATTAAGGGTAGGATTCTGTCACAGAGGTCAAGAATTCTGTTACTTTCTGGGACCACCCTGACTTCTTCTGGGGCAGGGCTGGAGCACCTGTCAGCCTCAAGGCTTCCGGAGCAGTGGCTGCTGGAACAGCTGACCAGCGGCCAGCCCCACGGCAGCCGTAGCAGCAGCCATGGCCAACCCCAGGCCCACCAGAACAGCTGTCTGGCAGCCAGTCCTTGGGCTTAACATTCTAGTTGGATTTAATAAAGGAAGACAAAAACTATGCCCTCAAGCAACACAGCTACTTATAGGGACAACTTGAAGTGGGAGCCCAATAAACCAGGAGGCTTGGCAGCTCCTGAATGCTAAGCACTGAACTGCAGGAAACCTCTGGTAAACCATCACCAAATGCTGTGGGCTTTTTTTTTATTGTTATGATGGAATAGAGACAGGTAAAGTATTGCAGTAAGTAAACTGCAAAGTATAAATCACTTTGGTGGTATAACAATCCAGCTGTATGTTTTCATGGTCAAACAGTAAGTGCTATGAATTTGGGGCCTTTGCTGCACAATGTGGAGGTCTCCACTACGTATTTGGGGCTAAATCCCCAGCAGCAACAAAGCAGAGTTCAGCACCACTGAGAGGAGGCAGCAAAAGTACCTTCATCCTGGAGCTGGCTAGGGGCTGAACTGTCCTTCAGTGCAAATTAGACTAGCGTGAGACCTGCTCCAGCTTGTAGCGGTCTCTTGGGACTGCTGAAGTGCAGCATGCTCCAGCCCTACTCCCTAGGCTGGGAAGGATGATAAAGAGCCAGTTTAGCCAGCCCTAAATCATCTGAAGATTCTTCCATGCCAAGACAATCCTCTGCTATCCATTTAAAGAAACTTTTAAGGTTTCTATGCTACATTCCAGTGGCACAAAGAGGCCTTACCATGGGCCAAGATTTAACAAAAAAGTTGCAGTCTTTCTTTATTATGCATCGCTGGGTACGGTGTTCCACACTTTGGTCAGACTGCAATGTGCTTTACTCAGGAATTTCCTTGAAGGCCACTTGGTGCTTTACCAGTGCTGAATGTGCTGTGGAGTGGGTTAGTGTGAGTAAATTACACCAGTGCTCCATTCACTACACTGGTTTTCATTCTGCTGACAGGTGAAATTTAAATTACTGGATTTTAAAATTTCTGAAGCGCTATCTAATTTTGAGAGTTGCAACCTGAAAGAATGGTGCTTGTACTATCCAGTTGGATGAGAAACTGAAGAGCTCTTGTTGACATTTCCTTGATTTGAACTCTTAAGAACAGGAGGCAAGACAGTCACCATGGAAGCTCCCCAGCTGTAACTTGTTCCAACTTTGCTGGTACTGAGAGCATCCTGCAAGGTTCATCTTCCTGAACAAATAGCTGTTTGATCTCAAGAAAAAACTAAAAAGGGATTTTCCACCCGGTGGCTGGGGTGGCTAACAAGGGGATGGCTATTATGTTAGATATTTATTTTTAATATAGGTAACCCAAGGGCCCCAGTGATGAGGCATTATAATTTTAGTAAGAAAAGCTTTTTTACCACATTAATATTTGGCATTCATGTAGAACATTTTTCACTAGATGATCGCAAGGCATTTTATAAACATTAATTCCTAGAAAAAAAGTTAAGGTAGTAAATATGTACCTACTGATTTAAACGAAAAATATCAGAACATTAGTTATAAAATGTTTAATAGGACATTCTGAGTTAAGGTTAAATACCATTTTGGCTTGAGATCCATGTGTAATTTCTAGCTGAAATTTTTTCCCCTGAGATAGTTAAATGTGAACACTGTCTATATCAGATTTAAATGCAAAGACAGTGCAATCTTAACTACTGAGTTGCCACTATATCTCTATACTCATCTCATGCTATAAATACCTCTAATGGTATTATACCATTTTGAAGATGGTTAAATTGCGATAAAAAGAATGCTGCAGTGAGTCAGTGACGGAGGCAGGAGTAGAACCCAAGATTTCTGACTCTGTCCCCTGCTCTAACTGCTGGACATGTTTTCTATACACAAGTGCATAGTATCAGTCTTGTCCATTGGCTGTTCACGACTGTCTTTTAGAAAGTCTTACTAAATTATCGTTTTATCAGGATCTATTTAAATTTCAACAGAGAACAAAATATTAAAAAGATAACATCACCATATCTGGATCATTCCATCTTCCTGGGCCAGCTGCAGGTTGCAGTTTATCCTGGTTATTTCCATACCACTCAATAATATTTACAACACTCTCCCAGGAATCCTGGATGTCACCAAAATTTCTCCAGAGGTTACAAATTTCACCAAGTACAGTATAATTTACCTAAATAAAAACATAAGTAATATATTTATATGTATAATACATATGTGATCATCACATCAATGAAATAAATTATTTTATTTCTACAGCCACTGCATAAACTACATTTATTCTGCACCTTTGACCTGTTTCCTGTGCCAGGACTGCTACTGCCATTATAAATCTCTGAGCAACTTCAACAGCTCCCATTCTCGGTTACCTCCTGTTCTCCCTCTTCCCTCCCTTCCTCATCCCCCCTCTTATTCTTCTGCTGCTTTCCTACCAACACTAATTGCTGAGTGGTGGGTCTGCAATAGCAGAAGCCGACTCTCCCCATTGTGACACAAGCATCTGGTGCAAAATTAACTGGATCGCTAGGCTTCAGAACTGGAAATACCAGGCGGTTAAATATCATGTTATGAGCTCTCAGACAAACAAAAGTAGGTGGGAAGGACAGTGTATATAAATACCGTTTTGTTATAGTTTATACTATATTTAAGTGGTATTTTCCATCACCAAATTCAGAAAGGTATTGATATAAAAACATTTTAAAAAACAAATAAGCTGAATTGGTCTCCAGAAAAGCAAATAGGGTTTTCTAAATTTCTAAAGGAATAAAATGTTCCCTAGCACAGAACATATATCTGTGTCATTCTCCAACAGTTTTTTTCCAAAGGAAGAACAACTGATTTTAAGACAGTGGTTTAGTTGCCATTTGAAAACAGAGACGAGCAGACGCCTTTGCCATACTCTTTTATTTTCAGATGTCATACCCATAATCTGAACAGGAGAGATTGGTATCTACGATGTACAGCTTTCTTCTATAAGCATCTGAAAAGCGGAAGACTTTGGTATTTCATTAGTGCAGTGAGGTTGTTCATCTAACACGGTGGTGCCAGTACGCAGAAATGAATGGAATAGAATAGGACTTGCCTGGCTGGTGTGCAGTTCATTCAAATAAGTTCCAGCCATTTGTCAAGAGCTCCCAGTTAGCTAAATACTGTCAGCTAAGGAGTAATTATATAAAATCAGATAGTGGAGATACCTTTGGGGGAAGCCCTCCTTCATAGGCTGGCCAGCTACATGAGTAAGCGATGGGTCTTCCTGTTTTATTCAGAGCAATGCTCATCTTTGGGTAGCCTAAACAAAATTGAGCACTGGGTTGTAATGCAAGGCAATATTAACATATTACATAACAACAGTAATAGTGTTCTAGTTTTTTCCACTTGCTATTGTTTTACAAAGATAAGAGCGGAGTCTCTTCTTTGGTGAATTACATATGGATGTGAATTATATATGGAACATGGCTAATTAAAGGTTTCCTTTACAAAGATCTTACAGTTACAATTTATGAGCACGCCTGCCCAAAATTGACTGTTTCTGCAGATGTAAGAAAAACCATGTTTTGTATATTCCTGTTTTCAAGTTATTCAGCAACAGGCAGATTTTTTCCAAAATAGATGTGGGATTGGAATAATCTCATAGTTCTGAACCAGTGTTTAAGAAAAGAGCTGAATGGTATAGTAGCATTGTACTGTGTTGCCATTAAGGAAGTCTGGGTTTGGGAAAGAACCAAGGACTCTCCTTTTTTAGACTAGCAGAAAACTGAACATCTTGAAGAGATTATGTTCCTGAAAACTCTTTTTGGGAAAAGAGGTGCTGCAAGTACAGGATCTTGCCCCCGCAGTATCTTTAATTGCTAAGCACCTACTATAGCAGTCTGGGAGCAGAGTCCTTTTTACCCTATCTGAGACTCACCTGTTTAAAACAAATCAGTCACAATTTTAAAAACAGTCTCCATTAGCACTCAGTGTATACATACAGAACGTAGGTTTCAAAACAGTTGGCTTTGTAACGTCTATTTTCTTTTGCTTATAAAACTTTATACAAAATGTACTGTTGTAATAATTTGGCCTCCAAACTTACTCTAACTGTGAGCTCAATTGTAAGAAGCGAAAGTTCATAATGTCACAACAACAATATATACGGTAGAACCTCAGAGTTAGGAACACCAGAGTTATGAACTGACCAGTCAACCACACACCTCATTTGGAACTGGTAGTACACAATCAGGCAGCAGCAGAGACAACAACAACAAAAGCAAATACAGGATAGTACGGTGTTAAAAGTAAACTACTAATCAAATAAAGGGAAAGCAGCATTTTTCTTCTGCATAGTAACATCTCAAAACTGTATTAAGTCAATGTTCAGTTGTAAACTTTTGAAAGAACAACCATAACATTTTGTTTAGAGTTACGGACATTTCAAAGTTAGGAACAACCTCCATTCCTAAGGAGTTCGTAACTCTGAGGTTCTACTGTAACAATAAATGGTGATAGGAAAAGATGCAAAAGGCAGACAAACTGCGTTAGTCAAAACAAAAACACTTACACTGATATAATCCAAGGACTGTGTTAAGAACAAGCCTTGCAAACAAGAGAGGTGCGGAACTGGAAATCAATGGACCAAAACTGGTGTCAGAAACTATGCCTGATTGCTGGACAAAATAATAAGGGGATGGCCTATTTCACCTTTCACTACCTTTTTAAAAGAAAAGACTTTGGGGGAAAACCTGCCTGCAGACTAACAACCACTGCTGACTGGGAGATGAGGACTGGAAGAAGCAAGCTTTACCATCAAGGCTTTCTCCTGGGACCCTGGGATTCACTGTTACACCACTAGTTCTTCGTTGTCCTAATCCTGACGGAGATCCTGATGAGTCAGGGCCAGAGAGAGAGGGACCCAAAGGACATCACCACCTACACTAACTAAATCCTAAATATCTCCTGGGATGTGAGGCTGTCACTCCGTCCATATCCCTTGTATCTTCTTTTTCCTATCCTCCTTCTTTTGCCATCTGTTTAATAAAAGTGTGGCTTATCTGGCTAAGACCATATATTGTGCAACACTGCTATAAGCCTGTGACCAAAGAGGCAGGTGAAAAGCAATGCAATAAACAGGCTGATGCTGGTACAAGCTTGCCAGGTCACAAAGTGGCTAACTAGACATTTGTCATGCCTGTGTTTCTCTAGGAGTGAGGTAGCAAGTGAGAGTCAACACCAGGGCCAGAAGCTGCATTTTCTGCCTTTCCTGTTCTTTTCTCACCCGTTTTGTGTGTGTTTGTTTTATTCTGTTTTTTAGAAAATGGGATCTGACTTTAACAACAACAACAGCTCCAGCCCATCTCAACTAACTTTCTCTTGTTTCCCTAAAAGGATAGTTTTAACTAAAAGACTTTCAAACTGTTTTTTTTTTCTTTTAATAACTCTACAGCTAAAGGGAATAAGGGATATTGTTAAAATAAAAGGGTTATTTAATAGTTTACATAACTGTGTTCCTTCTTTTTCTTAACCTTTAATAAAAGGTTAAAAAGATTTTATTGGTGTGTTTGTCATGGTACTAGGCAGGTTGAGGTCTCTGTATTCCAAAACCTCAAACTATGTTAACTGTTAATGTTGGACAGTGACAGAGTCCTGTTAACACACTTGACACTCTGGACATATTTATTCCATCAAGATTAATACAACAGTATCTTAATAGACAAAAATATTCAATGCTTCACATTTGCCCCCAAACTTTTTTATTTATATTTTTGGAGCTGTAGCGAAATCCCTTCATCCATTCTGTGTTATCAGTGAGTGGAAAAAACATATTTTTTGTTGTCTTAAAAAAACCAAAAGCCTTTGATAACACTTTTTGAACAGGGCTTCAGCACAAAGGGTTGACTTTTACAACTTGGCAAGCAGGCGACCATTCTCATTGAGGACTCGTATCTTTGCTTTGTTTAATAAGATGAATTTGGTTGAACAAATTTATGACTTTTAAAACTTACTGAGCCACAAGCATTAGAACACTATGCTAAGGCTACAGATCTGAACTTAAACATAGGAAGATGCACTGCACATCTTTTGAGGATGCTCAGGATCTCTTATGTGGAGTTTTTAAAATCTTTCACCTGAAGCATCATTCATTGGCTGCAATTTGAGATAAGATATTAGATATGATGGGCTGACATGACCAATATTCCTATTAAAATGCTATATTGAAAACGAGAAGGGGACTGAGAGGAGAGATGGGGTGGCAGTGGGAAGCAGACCCAGAAAGAGAGGGGCACAATCCCGTAGACTTCAGTTGGACGTTTGAGTGCTCAAGGAATGCAAAACAAGGGCCTTATTTTGAATCCTGTTTCTTGAGTAGCTACTTAAAATGAGCTAAAAGCTGCATTATGAAGGGGATGGGAGGAAACTTCATTCAGATAAAACAAGATCATGAGACATCACAACTCAATATTGAGCTTAACGAGTATAAATTCAGATTCACCCAAAACTAATAAACATATAAACAGAAATTATTTGGAGATGAAAAACAGCGATGAAAAGCAAACTTACTACTTCACAGAACTTGAAGATTTCACAGGCTTTTTTAAAAATGGGATATCCAAGTTTAAGCAGCTTCACTTAAAAATAAAACAAAACAAAACTCCTGAGCCAGCCTTTCCCTTGTTCAAAGATTAATCCTAAGAAACAAACCTATTGCTTTAACAGATGAGTTGGAATAGCAGCCATCAAGCTTCAGCATGTCAACTTCCCATTCTGCAAATGTTTTGGCATCTGTATCAATGGTGTCCAGTGTGGTCCCAGGGTAACCACTGCAGGTGTAGTTACCCATGTCACTATAAATTCCAAATTTCAGCCCTTTGGAATGTACCTGATAAAGCAAATGAAAGTAATTCTGATTAGTTTATGATTTCAGTGTATTTGTCTTCTAGTACCCATTGATGCGAAATCTCTCTTCTGTTTGTTAAACATCTCCATTATTTTTCTGAATTTAGATTTCTCTTGGATGCTCTCTTGTGAGATCTCTGCCTATTTTGGTAATGATGTTCTGAGAGCCTTTGCATACCAGAGTCCTAAAAAGCTGATTGTTGTGTAGTAATGGCTGCTTTGGATTCATGGTGAAAAATATAGTTAAAAGGTGAATTACCTGGCCTTTCATATGTTGCCTTTCATGCAAGGATCTCAAAACAGTTCACAAGGATTAGGATGTAGATAAGCATTGTTATACACATTTGGTAGAAACAAAACAGAACGGTTAAGTGACTCACCCTAGGCCACACAGTAAGTGGTACAAGTAGGAACAGAAACCAGGAATTGTGGCTCCCAGTTCTCTGTGCTAACCATTAGTTCCCTGCCTCTCTGCAAAATATGGCTTTCATTCCAAATACACACTAAGGGCTCCATCCTTCAAACACACACATGCTTATTATTTACTTCAGTGTAACTATCCAAATGTGTAAACTGGTAAGCACATGTGAAACCCTGCAGGATTGGGGCCTTGCTGGGTTCCACTGTACACAACCACATTGTGTAATTGACCCACTGTACAGAATAATGCATCTTTGCTCATTTGTAAATATATCTACTTTCCTTTCAATTCTAACCCAGAGCATGTTAATATATTCCTAAGGAATAACAGTTGATTAACCCTAAGTGTCTACTGATCATCATCCATATGTGCAGGTGCAATGAAAATCCAATATGTATTTCCCTTAGAGATATGCGTAGTATCATTTACATGTATTACAATTAAGCTGTTCCCTGTAATTTTTCCAGCTAAGTAGCTTAACATTTATTAGTTGTCATTTAAGTGAATTCTACAGTATGTTATATGTATCCTTTTTTAATAACAATTTCTTTAAATAACTACATTCAAAAGAAAATGGCATTTTTAGCATCTACATCTGAGATACAACATTGAGAAACTAGTGTTTAAGTACATGTATTTTACTTAACTTACATAATCAACAAGAGCTTTAATACCACTTGGAAACCTATCTGGGTCTGGCTGAAGTCTGCCCTGGGAATCCCTTTCCTTTGCAGACCAGCAGTCATCAAGGTTCACATATTCGTAACCCAGCTCCTTCCATCCATCTTCTGCCATCTTGTCTGCCATACTTTTGATCAAGTTCTCACTGGTAAAAAACAGAAGATTGCATTAACAAAGTTGTTGAAATGTTACATTTTACTTTTTTGTATGTGTTTGCAGGGACCTCAAAGGGTCAGGACCTCACTTTTACATCTCCTCAGAAAAATGGCAATTCCAACCAAACAATACCACTTCACACCTTGCTGGCTGGCCACTGATTCAGAACTGAGTCACAGAGAAAATGGCTCAATTCTGGTTCACCTGTACTACTTCTTCCAGCTCCTGAACTTAGGGACCCCTTCCAGGTATGTAGTAACCTGTCCCTCCTTAGTCTAGAACAGTGATCACCAACCTATCGATTGCGATCGACTAGAGACTCTCCCAGTAGATCCCGATCTCTGGTGGTGTGGCGGGGCTGCCGCTAAGACAGGTTCCCTGCCTGCCCCGGCCCCACGCCGCCCCCGGAAGCAACCAGCACAGCCCTGCGGCCGCATGGAGGGGCAGGGGTCTCCGCGTGCTGCTCCTGCCTTCAAGCACTGTCCCCACAGCTCCCGTTGTCCAGGAACGGCCAATGGGAGCTGCGGGGGCAGTGCCTGCAGCGAGGGGCAGTGCGCGGAGCCACATGCCCCCAGCCCCAGGGGCCGCAGGGAAGCATTGGCCCCTTCCGGGAGTGGCGTGGGGCTAGGGCAGGCAGGGAGCTTGCCTTAGCCTCGCTGCGACTGCCACCTGGGAGCCGCCAAAGGTAAGTGTTGCTCGGCAGGAGGTTCCATCCCAACTCCCAGCCCCCTCCTAGAGCCAGCACCCCAAGCCCCAACCCTGTGCCCCTTCCCGGAGCCAGCACCCCTTCCCCCCTCCTGCACCCTGTACCCCCTCCTGCACCCCAACCTTTGCCCAGACATGAGCCCGCTCCCAAAGCCAGCACCCCAAACCCGCTCCTGCACCGACCCCCTGTCCCAGTCCTGACCTCCCTCTCAGAGCCAGCACCACATACCCCCTCCTGAACTCCAACCCCCTGTCCCAGCCCTGACCCCCCTCCCAGAGCCAGCACCCCATACTCCCTCCTGCACCCCAACATTTTGGAAATCAGAAGTTATATTTAATTTATATTATATGGTATAGTAATCTCATAGTAGCCTGCCTTATAATCATTTGATTTAGAAACCTTCCCATTTTAAATTTCAACCATTGTTTTATATACTTAACAGGTTGAAAAAAGGGGACTTGGCCAAAAAATTTCCATCTTCAGCTAGGTTCTTTGTCAGGGTTATAGAAGCAGCCAAAATATTTGTCTCCTTGGCTACTGCTGTGCAAACATTACTAAGTTGATCATAAAACATTTCCTGTTCTGTGAATTATAGGAAAGTAATACGATCTTAACAATGTTAATACACTTAAGCATTTTACATACTTAGCCTTTTTAGTGTCAAGTCTAAAGTTCAGCTTGCTTTGCTTGTATTTATTAATACAAAACAATGACGAATACTCTCTCCCTCCATTAGTCTGAAGCAGGCTCTTAACAATAACATTTCTGAGATATAACAGTAGAGGGAGTTCTCTCAATGTTTCCTAGCTAATTCTGTTCTGATTCTAGTTGTGTACATGAACATTATTTCCTTACTGTTGTAGAAACAGAGAATTTCCAGCTTCCTTCTTTAGGAAGGAAATTTTGGCCACCTCTCAAAATGGTAGCAGTGAAACACTCTGGTTTTGTCTCAGTACTTTTCTGACTGGGAAACACAATGATCTAGGAAGTCCATGAAAGCTTCAACAAATGAGATTTTAAGATTAAAGGATAAAAATTGGGACAATAATATAAACATCTCTTCATAAGAGAATGGGGAAGGAGGAAAAACTAAATCTGACAAGAATTATTTGAACAAAAGACTCAGATGAAAAAAGGGGAAGAAAAAATATAAGAACCTTCAGTAAATGGTGCAGGACTAGAATTACTGTACTTGAGGCCACCTTACAACAGCTATTCAACCATTCTTCTCCTTTGAGTTGTAAAGTATTACATTTCTTTTGTAAATAAGCTGATTAAAATAAGTGAATTGAGAATTTTTTATTCAAAATCTTCTTCTAATCTAGTGTAACTGACCGAACCTGGATTTATTCTTATCCTAAAATCTTACCTAAATCTATGTAGGCACTTATATTACCCCTGTCACCATGGCATCTAGCCACCAACATTCTATGTACTTAATATTATTAGAAGTGTTACTAAGGAGGCACCACTCTCACAAATGTTGTAGTAACATTATATTTGTACCAACACTGTGCTTTTGGTCTTCTTTGTCTTTTTTATATGGGATAAGACAGACAAAACCTGAACAGTTTGTTCAACATTCTCTTAACTCTAGCACAAAGTTTGAGAAGTTTCCTAACTGTGATATTTAGAACTCTTTCACAGCCATTCTTGATCAATTATCTCACCTGATGCAGTTTCCAGGATCAATTTTGCAATTGGTATTGCATCTAAAACGTTCCCAAGGCAGCCAGCCCATTGGTGGAGTCCTTAGTAAACCATTATCTAAGGATGAACAGCAGGCAGCCAATCCCAACAGGATGCTCAGAGGAGGCAGCAACATGATTAACAGGACAACTATAAATCAGAAGAATGGATCCAATTAATATTTTCACTTTTAGCACATCTGTTGTTCAAAAACAGTCCTACAATTTAACTTGTTCTTAAATGCTAGTTATCTGTGTCTTAGGTATTTCTGGGATCCTAGCAACCAGGTATCTGAGGGACACCAAGGCATAGAAAATAAAAGATTTCAAAGGCTGATCATGATTAAACATGGACAAATCTAAATATACAGGGGGACATTTCCAAACCTTTGAACAATGATTTATTTGTCTCTTCAATTATCAATAGGAAATTTGCAGCTAAAACCCATTAATCACATTGAGAATACATCATGATAAATATAATTGCACAGTTCAAAGATCAAACTCTTCTTCCAAATATTAATACATTAAATCCTTCAATATTACTTTTGAGTAAACACTATATTGCCATTTGTTTGCCATTAAAATGCATATAAAGCTTGCATGAATAGCTTTTTCCTACAAGCTTCGTAAAAAATGTATATCAGCATACAACATACAGTTTTAATTTTGGCTGGTGGATCTCTCTTTCACCTTACCATTCAAAGGCTGACCTGGGGCAAGGACCTTACCTTAGGTTGAAGATGCGAAATATGCAACTCCTTTGGGGTAAACTATTTTCAGTACCAAATTTGTTTTAATGTAAGTGGCATAAGGCTGAAGAAAGGGATTGGTTACAATATCTCACACTTCTCACTTGCTCTCAGGTCTTCACTGCTTTTGCTTTCTCTAGTTTAGATGATGAGTAATCAAATCCTACTCCCAGGGTATGATTGCCATCACCAATGATGCTGGAGCACAAATGGAATCAGTGCAAAGACAGAGAGAGAGTCATAGATAATTCCTGGGACTCTGTATGTTACAGAACGTTTGACTTTGGAAGGAAATGGTTGATAAAAAGAAAAAAATTCTTTTTCTAATAACTGCAAGGGTAATTGACATCCTTCTACATCTCTCTGTGTGTTTCTTTTACTCTCTGTCTGGTACTATCAAAACTACATTGCAGTCTTAATTGGATGAGCATTTAAAAACAGATTTTCTTCTCTATTGGGTTATTAAAGGCCCCTACATAACAACACATGTTTCTCCCAGTATTCTTGCCCAAAATTTTCCTTAGTCCCTTCTGTTGTGAAGTGTGCTAAATTGATTGATTGAAAGACACAGTAGAACCTCAGAGTTACATGCACCAGAGTTATGAATTGATTGGTCAACCACACACCTTATTTGGAACTGGAAGTATACAATCAGCAGCAGCAGAGACAAAATATGTAAATAAATAAATAAAGCAAATACAGTACAGTACTGTGTTAAACGTAAACTACTAAAAATAAAGGGAAAGTTTTTTGAAAAAAAAAAGATTTGACAAGGTAAAGAAACTGTTTCTATGCTTGTTTCATTTAAATTAAGAGGGGGGGTTTTCTTCTGCATAGTAAAGTTTTAAAGCTGGATTAAGTCACTGTTCAGTTGTAAACTTTCGAAAGAACAACCATAATGTTTTGTTCAGAGTTACGAACATTTCAGAGTTACAAACAACCTCAATTCCTGAGGTATTCATAACTCTGAGGTTCTACTGTAGGTGCATTTCATATACGTAAAAAGAAAAGGAGTACTTGTGGCACCTTAGAGACTAACCAACGTAGTTGAGCATAAGCTTTCGTGAGCTACAGGTCACTTCATCAGATGGGCAGATTAAAACTGTGTATAACATGCAACAATGCAAACTGAAACTTCCTCATTTTGTTTAAAATAAAATTCATTGCAACAACATTTTTTCTTAACTATGAAAGTTGTTACTGTTGCCACATGAACTATACTTACACAAGAAGTAAGTTAGATGCATCAAAAGTGAGAGAGAAAACATAATTATCCAAACGTTATAGAAGAGTTAATGATCAAGTATCTCACCTATACCGAAAGCAGGCAGGCTGATCGATCTGTTCCTGGGGAGATCTTCATTAGGAAAAGAAGACACGTGTGATCCCCCTTGTTTTAAATGGAGATTAAAAAAAAATTAATTCACAGATCTGCCTTCCACAATTTATTCTTTTGATTTCACTGGATCACTTATCTCATATTACTGGACCTAAGTAAGTTACATTTAGTGTAAGATCTCCCCCTCTCTGAAGGTACAATAGAATATTCCAACAGCTTTCCATCTGACATATTTGCTCTCCTAGGAGGAAGCAGAAAAGGAGGAAAAATTCCTTTATCAATCTTGGGGGTGTCATAAATATAAAGGGAAGGGTAAACCCCTTTAAAATCCCTCCAGGCCAGAGGAAAAATCCTCTCACCTGTAAAGGGTTAGGAAGCTAAAGGTAACCTCGCTGGCACCTGACCAAAATGACCAATGAGGAGACAAGATACTTTCAAAAGCTGGGAGGAGGGAGAGAAACAAAGGGTCTGTGCCTATCGGTATGCTGCTTTTGCTGGGGATAGAACAGGAATGGAGTCTTAGAACTTTTAGTAAGTAATCTAGCTAGGTATGTGTTAGATTATGATTTCTTTAAATGGCTGAGAAAAGAACTGTGCTGAATAGAATGACTATTTCTGTCTGTGTGTCTTTTTTGTAACTTAAGGTTTTGCCTAGAGGGATTCTCTATGTTTTGAATCTAATTACCCTGTAAGGTATCTACCATCCTGATTTTACAGAGGTGATTCCTTTACTTCTATTTACTTCTATTTCTATTAAAAGTCTTCTTGTAAGAAAACTGAATGCTTTTTCATTGTTCTCAGATCCAAGGGTTTGGGTCTGTGGTCACCTATGCAAATTGGTGAGGATTTTTACCAAACCTTTCCCAGGAAGTGGGGTGCAAGGGTTGGGAGGATTTTGGGGGGTAAGACGTGTCCAAACTACGTTTCCCAGTAAACCCAGTTAGAGTTTGGTGGTGGCAGTGGATATTTCAAGGACAAAGGATAAAATTAATTTGTACCTTGGGGAAGTTTTAACCTAAGCTGGTAAAAGTAAGCTTAGGAGGTTTTCATGCAGGTCCCCACATCTGTACCCTAGAGTTCAGAGTCGGGGAGGAACCTTGACAGGGGGATTCTACAGTGTCCATCACGATAGTATCTAAGTGCTTAAGTAGTCAAAGATCCAACTGTGCCAGCACCAATGGCTATTGTGCTAGCATGTGTGTTGGCCCCAACCGTATCTCTGAAACTGAAACTATTACTAAACACAATAATCTAATTCCAGCCCTCATAGTTGCATTAATTCTCTCTTTTATGGCTGCAATTGTCTTGGCGTAATGGTACCACAGAGAATGAGGTTCGAAGGGCTGAATGCTGACCCACTTCTGAAGGAAAGGAAATCCCTAAACACAGGATAACTGTTACCTTCATATGCAACCGGGTACCTCAAGAAGAGAAATTGGTCTATTCATCCTTGTTGTCATATTCAGGATCATTCAGTAAGGAAATCTGACCAAGTTTCAGATTACTGCTAATTCTGCCCACTGTTTCTCTCTCTTGCTCACCCTCTTTTCTTTCTATCTTCCCTCTCTTTGTGTCTCTTCCAGTCTGCATTTACCTCTCAAAAAGCTCCCATTTTCTATTCCTTCACACTGGACTGGAATCACGGCAATTTACTGGTGTCAGCCCCAGCTTGTGCTCGTGCAGCATGCCTAAATTAGGGATTTGTAGTGGTTTAACTATACTGATGTGAATTTCCTTGATGTAGATGTAACACTGAGAAACCCCAGTTGTTGGCGGACAGGATCAAACTGGGGACTTCTGGAGCTAAATACATGAGCCTCTACTGCAGGGGTGGCCAACCTGTGGCTCTGGAGCCACATGAAGCTCCGCGGCGGGGGCTTCAGAAGTTAATATGCAGCTCCTTGTACAGGCACCGACTCCAGGGCTGGAGCTCCAGGTGCCAACTTTCCAATGTGCTGGGGGGTGCTCAATCCCTGGCTCTGCCACAGGCCCTGCCACCACTCCGCTCCTCCCCTCCCCTGAGCCTGCCGTGCCCTCGCTCCTCCTCCGCCCCTCTCTTCCCCACCCTGAGCCTCCAGCATGCCACGAAACAGTACGGGAGGTGCGGGGAGGGAGGGGGAAGCGCTGATCAGCTGCCGGTGGGCGGGAGGCGCTGGGAGCAGGGTGTCGGGGAAGGGAAAGCTGATGGGGGTCTGCTGACGTATTACTTTGGCTCTTTGGCAATGTACATTGGTAAATTCTGGCTCTTCTCCGGCTCAGGTTGGCCACTCCTGCTCTACTGTATGAACTAAAAGCCAGATGGCAGACTCCTTAATCTCTTTTTCTAAGTGGTCTCAGGGCCACTAGATGAGACACAGCACCACACCCAGGAGGTGTGTGGGTTACATAGACAGGACCTCAGTTTGTATGTATAAGGTATATCTTATTACTTGGGATGAGTTTCAGTTGATATGTTTTATTTGCATTTTGATTTTCAAAACAAAATCAGAAATGGGTAAAAAAACAGTAGCCAATGGAGTTTGTAAATAGTTATGTACCATCACACAGGAGTAAAACCTTTTATAACCCTGATCTACGGTATATGACTGGGGCTATGAAAAAAAAAAAAAAAATTAGCCTTGCAACAGCACAGTGGGTGTCACTCTCTTATTACTCCCAAGACCAAAGCCAGTAATATCAAAGAAGTGTTGACCTGAGTGCTTTCAGCACTCCACTTATATTTAATTGAATATATCAGCACTGCTCAGAGTGTATGGGAGTGAGGTCAAGGAAGGGCAAATGGCATAGTTAAAGGGAAAAACACCTCTATTTTTAGTAGTGGAATGCTATAAGGGAGGGGTAGGGCTTTCTAGCTTCCCTTGTGCATAGATTAGCCATTCCCATGGCACCGTGTATGAAAATACAATGCCATGCTCATTTCAAGTTCCAGAAACCTAGGAGGGAAAAAAATTAAGATAGACTGACTCAAAAATAGACTAAAACTGGAATTTATGACTTCCCGTACCAGCTCAGACTATTTGTCCATCAAGTCAAGCATCCCACTTCCAACAGTTATTTAAGCAATGCTTCAGGGGATGTGAAACTCCCTTGTAGTTGTACAATGCTATGGAATCCTTCCTGAGTGCCGCAGGCAATCATTCTATGTCACAAAAGGTGATGTTAGGTGGTCTGATTGCACCAGGAGCATGTGTGTGTGTATGTGTGTAGCTCTCACTGCGTTGTAGGTAACAAGAAGGGGGAATCATGCACAATACTGCTTTCCAAACCAGAATGTGAGGGCTACTCGATTTGTTTGCAGGATGGAGTTATACTTTCCCTTATTTTTAACCTATTCACATCACATACAGCAGTGGGTTACCATGCAGGACCATGTCTGAAACAAAGACATCATCGTGAAGGCTGCACATTTCAAGCCCAGCATTGTCACTACTCGGGAGAGATCATAGGCACGGTTTGACACTTGTGCCTCCAGTTGTACCTGTGACAGACTGGCTGGGCTTGTGTCTGCCAGTGCCACGCAGAGGGACAGCACAGTGCCCCCCACCCTGTCCCTGTGACAAAGCATGGCAAATGGCATCAGGAGCCAATGCCTCGGAGGCGTGATGCTGTGGGGCGAGATCACCCCAAGCAGGACAAAGGCCTGGCGCCACTTTGGGCCCCCTGGGTGATGTCATAATGATGCATGCCGCAGGCTGACCACACTGTGGCGTCATGGGGGCACGCCCACATTCTGATAGCACCATGGCAGCCAGGTTTATGCCACACCAGAAGGCAACTTCTTCCCCTCACTGCGGTGCGCCCACGTTGTCAGGACACCGTGGCGCCGAAGCACCACCCGCTCTCTTCACGCCCGACCAACGGTCACGTGGTGCAATGGCGTGTGGGAGGCGGAGCGAGAACCCGAGACGGGGAAAGAACCCCCCCCTCCACATCCCGCGCATGCGCAGTGCTGTCATTGCCACTTGAACCGGCCACCACCCCGCACATCGCAACGACAGTTGGCGGGGTTGGCGAGGAGACAGGGGTCGAAGGCAGAAAACAGTACCTATGAGGGGGGTGGCCCAAGCGATGCGAGCCAGTACTAATTACAGGGTGGTGCGGACAGTCTGGCACCCCGTGCTTCCGCTTGATTCCTGAGGGGGCGGTGTGATGGTGAACCTAAGCCAATCGGAGATTCAGAGACGGCCGGCCTCCGCCTATCAGGAGTGGCGTGTCTCTGGCGTGGCAGTTGAGGAGCCAATTGGAGATGGAGATGTTGCCTGCTCCTGTCAAACAGTCGCACCCGGAAGGGAGCGATATAGAGGCGCATAGTTTGAGTAACCAGCCAATCGAAGGAACGGACAGGCAGGAGGGTACATATAGAGCCAATCGGAAGCAAAGAGTCTGTTGGTTTCAGCCAATCAGAGGAGCCGGCTCTGTCCTAGGAATTGTGGAGCCGATGGGAGAAGCGGAGATGTGGCCACAGCTGCCAATAGGGCGGGGCTGCTCTGTTTGAGGCGGCTGATTGTGGCGCTGGCCTCCCAGAGGCAGAGGGCGCAAGTACTAGGTGGCCGGGTTTCATCAGCGTAGCTGCCGAGGCAGGAGTGGAGACGGCGCTGTTGTTGTTGTCGTACCGAGAGATCGCCGCTGCCTCCGCTTTCCTCCTCAGCTGCGCCGGCGCCGGAGCTAGCGAGCAGGTACGTGGGGGCTCAGCGAACGCGGGAGCTGGCGGCTAGATCCCCCACCCCCCTAGGGCAGGCTGTCCATTGCCCATCACCACCCCCGCTAGGGGTGGGGGTGCTCTCGGCCCACTTCCCCCTCCTCTCCCCCCTTAGGGAAGCTGGTGTTGTCCCCTCTCCGCAGTGTCGGGGTTGGGTTTATTGCCCCCGGTAGCGGGGTTACCCTGGTGCCTCCCTCCTCAGCTCGTGTTAATCTTGTGCTGGGCTTGGTGAAGACCCTCGTTTGTGGTTCTGCGGCGGGGGCTCCCGATGGAGGTGTGGGGAACGAACACACGGCGGGCAATGCTAAGTGCCCGTTGCGAAGTACGGGCCGGGACCCTTTGGGTGTGATCCCCCTGTGGCGTGAACGGAGCGTGTGTGTGGAACCTCTTTTAGCCGCTGACAATCCCTGCTGCGGCTGGAGGGCCCCGGTGAGAGTGGGGAGGGAGGTGCTGGGGGACAGGCCGCCCCAGCCTATCAACTCTTACAGCCTAATTGTGACTTGATAGAACTTCAAGAGCCCCTGGCCCTATCCACTCAGTCTGGTCCGTTTTAAACAATGATTTACAGCAAGGTCAGGTGTTACACCCGCTCCCGAGTATGTCTGCTATTTTTTTGGTTTTACAACTGCATTTTCCTATGGCTCTTAAAATGGCAGTTTTCTGTTCCTGTGTGATGAGTGAGAGAAGAAAAAATAGTTGGCAAAGGAGGGAAGGTGACTATAAGAAACTCATTATTCAGAGACTGTTTATATACAAAGTGGTGTCAAATACACCAAGTACTATTAAAACAGTATTTTAATTGATCTTCAGGTACACCCTATAGCGGGGTGGGCAAACTTTTTGGCCCGAAGGCCGCATTGGGGTTGCAAAACTGTATGGGGGGACCAGGTAGGGAAGGCTGTGCCTCCCCAAACAACCTAGCCCCTACCCCATATCCACCCCCTCCCACTTCCTGCCCCTTGA